TTAAGCTTATTAAACATTCAACTAGTGTTATAAAAATCAGACCGGACCGGCCAGGTCGAACCGAAAATCGGTAAATCGGTCATGTGACCGGTCCTGGTAGGGTAATAGATCGGACATGCAAACAAACCGGTGTGACCAGGTGTGAACTGGAATAACCCGACCGGTTTTACTAAAGCCGGTGACTCGCCGAGTCAAAAATAAACAACACAAGGGAAGGAAAAACGTCGGAAAAAATGGAACGGTGGCCACCGGAGATGGTGGAAATGACTTGGCCGGCAATGGGGTTCACCAGGGAAGGCCACACGGTGGTACATATGTCTCACCAGATATCTGGTCGGTGCAGAGGCGATAAACAGACGAAGAAGAAGAAGAGGCTTAAACTTATTAAGGCCTTGCCTATTGTGGCAACTATGGCAAAGAAAAAGAAGCAGATAAAGAGATGATAGCTATTTTCAAAAAGAAGGAAAGAGAGATGATAGCTGTTTTAAAAAAAGAGACGATAGCGTGATAAAAACGAAATTGGAAATATGATGAACCTGTATAAGTGAAATAGTTGTTTCTTTCTGCCAATGCTTTTGTACTTTGCATTTATTATATTGTATTGGAAGATGAAATGTACTGAATTGCATTTATTGCATTATTAAAGTGAAAGGAGTAGTTTATTGTCAAATGGAACGACCCCTTTTGCAAAACTACAACTTTTTGAAAAGTTTATTATATCACATTGTATTTGAAATGTGATATTTTTTTTTTTGGAATACAAAATATAATATTCATTATTAATAAAGTTAAAATATTTATTTACCAAAAAGAGAGAGAATGTTTGAAATTGAAATTATTTTATAAGTATTTAAATATATTTATAATTTTTTAATATAAATTATAAATTTATACATACTTACCGGGTCATGCGGTTGAACCAGTGACCCACTGGTTGAACTAGTGACCCACTGGTTGAACCAGTGATCCACTAACCCAGTACCTCGACCGGTTCAATAACCGGGTCGAGTTTAACAATATTGCATTCAACAATTAAAAGAATAACTAAAATAATATCACTTTATTATTCAAAATTATTAAAACAATAATTTTATTTATTTTATTTAAAATAAATAATATGATATAGGCCGGCCTGTAGGCTTATAGGCCTGATATGAAGAAAAAAACTTATGACCTATTTTCGAAATAGGTTTTTTTAAAAGCCTAGGTCTGTTCTATTTTACTTAATGTTGTAAAAATCGGACCGATCCGGAAACCGGTGAACCGGTCATGTAACCGGTCCGATTTTCATATTGAACCGGCCATGTTACAGAACCTGTGTCACCCTGTGTGATCGGGCCGGTTTTCGTAAAAATCGGTGACCTGGTCGGTTCAACCGGTGACCTGGCCCGGTCTATAAAGAAAAAAAATTAATTTATTTTCATTAATTAATGTCTTTTTTTTTTTACTCTCAAACACAAATGATTTGTTTTCTTTTGAGATATTTGAGTGATTTGTAGTTTATTAGCTTACATAGATTATGTACCTACAACACTAGTATTATCTTGATTATATAATCTGCAGGGAATTTTGATTTGATTTATAGTTAAAGATGACGTTTACTGAACCTGAAACACTAGTATCACAAATATTATATGTTTGATTGATCTTTTATTGGACAATGATGTGTAATTTATTATTTTCATATTAAAATATTTGAAATTGGTATATTTTTTACAAGTATTTAAGTATATTTATAGTTTTTTTAATCTAAATTATAGATTTACATATATTTATCGGGTCATGCAGTTGAACCAGTGACTCACTAGTTGAACTAGTGACCTAGTACCTCGACCGGGTCAATAACCGGGCCGAGTTTAATAATATTGATTTTACTATTTATAATAGGTCAAGTTTGATTTAATATGAGCTAAGTCGTAGACTGGCCTAATCCATTTACACCCGCCGGTGGAAGGCATTCTCTTAACGTAACAATCATGATTCATCAACCCTCTGGTGGTTGTACTGGCCAGGCAAAGGATATTCCAATTCATACTAAACAGAACAAAATAAAATAAAATTGAATAAACAGTAGAAATTGAAAGGAGACAATTTTGGTATTAAGGTTAATTTTGTAAATTTGGTTCACATTTTTAGTAATATTTTATAATCAATCAAGTATAGTATCAAAAAAATTGGCCTAATATTTTTAAAAATATTTTAGTTTTTCAAATAATTTTTTAGTAATATTCGTGAGAAATTTACTTTTTTATTATATTTTTTAGAATAATGATTTTCTAATAATTTTTCTTTTTCTTCCTTAGAGGACAATTTCTCTGCGACATAATTAGCACATGACACACACTGACACTGGGTACAAAGTAATTTCTGACCGCAAGAATATCAAATTTGCTGATGATACCCATGGGTCCTCAAGTCAAGCGTATTCAATTTGTTTTATTTGCATTTCTCAATAGATGACCCCATTCAATTATAGACAGTACGAAACACTTCTGGCCTCTAATTTTCCTAACTCTCAAACACATCTCCTTCCTTAAAAGTAGGGGTGGCAATTTTTGACACGACCTGTTAACTCGACTCGGACTCGACACGAAATTTTTTCGTTTGAGTCAACCCGTTTATTGTTCGGGTCATGTTCGGGTTGAAGAAAAATGACACGAAAAAATTCGTGTCGGGTTCGGGTCAACCCGTTAACCTGTTCTGACCCGCAAATAGTTTTTGTATAAGGTTATTATAGTCATTTTAGTGAGTGGTAAAAAAAAAATCATACACTTAGGGTTTCAAACAACCCTTTTCACCCTGCAGTGACTTTATTGGATGTATATGCTTTTATTGGATGTAAAATCAGTGCCAAATACAGGTTTTGAATGTGAGCATTCTAAAACTCGTGTCACATATGTTATCAAAAAAAAAAAAAAAAAACTCGTGTCACGTCAGGTCGGGTCGAGTCGTGTTAACATGTGTAATAATGGATCATGGTTACATTATAAGATTATTCGTGTCGTGTCAATCCGTAAAATAAGCGGGTTGTGTTCGGGTTGAGAATTTTGACACGAATAATTAATCGAGTCGTGTACGGGTTGAAATTTTTCGTGTCGTGTAAAATTCGGGTCGGGTCGGGTTGACACGAATTGCCACCCCTACTTAAAAGTATATGCTTGAAGCGTGAATATTCTACTGTTTATTTTTTTTATTCTATTTTATATTAATTTAATTTTATTAGAAAATGGGTTGGTAAAGATCAAATTTATAACTACATAATAAGAAGGCTGTAATACCATATAAACAATCAATTTAATTCAAAAGTTCAAACTATTAAATAAAGGCTAATCAATAATCTTATATTATATTTTTCTAACATAATCATTTTAACATAATCATTTTAGTATAATTCCACCATTAAGTAGTTATCCAAATAACCTGTTCACTTGAGTTATTTAGCAATTTACTTATCAAATTCACAACCCAAGCTACCAGAATTACCTAGTTACTTGCCTAGCTGACCATCAACCCAAGTAACATAAATGCAAAATGGTTGAACCGGCAGCAACTTTTACTACACGACAATTACAACCGAAACCCTCCATTTATGGCAATTATGAGGGGAGAAGTATGATATTCATAATTTTAACAAATACCAAGTCCTAAGGACCTATGTCTCTATGCATCGTAAAGAATCAAATTAATCCAAAGTCTCGGTAGGTGAGAATTTTTTTAATAGTTTATATTATTCTCTAACATACATCTTCACACAAGAGCTATTTAAACTTGAAGCATGAATATTGTACATGTCCAATTTTTTGATTTATCTTTTGTGCTTTTTATTTAATTCTACAAGTGGAGGACGATAAAGATCGAAGTGTTAAGTGATGATATTTTTAATAGTTTATATTATTTTTTAATGCACGGTAATAGTATATTCTTATAAATTCGTATTGAAACTCCAATCAACGCACAACCTTGATTGAAGGATCGTGACTGTTCCTCACCCGGTAGAGCACACCACCTCCCACACATCCAATAATATCCCTAAAATTATTCTACTTCTGTTCTTCTCAATAATACTAGCCACGAATAGTAGTTGTATCATAATATATACTTTTATTAGCCACTCACCCCCAAGGAAACTTAAACATGTCACGTTCATGAAAGTTGTTTTAAATTCATGTTTCTTTTATTTTAGGTACTTAACTCTTTCATGCAATTCAACCGAACCGAAAAGCTCCCTTTTCCACTCTTTGCTGGAACAAGAAAAAGTAAAAAAAATAAAAAATAAAAGTCAATCTTATGTGAAGCAACATTGTTGCAGTGGACCACTATAAATGCACTAACAACTCATACAGTAAATTGCATTAACTTTATATAATTGTGGGCGTGCCATGCAAAAAAATAAAATAAACAAAAGAACCTCGTAATCATACTGACAGGAGAGTGAGAAGCAGACCGCCACTAAATTGGCAACAGTTTCAACCTGCAAACTCACAGCACACACTCCACCGAACCCCAAAAAGAAAAATAACTGTTTTCTAAGAAATATAAATAACACTCTCTGACATCAAATATAAAAATTACTTTAAATTAGTAAAAACAAGATAAACCAGTAGCTCATTAATTTTATGTTGCCAATTTTTTTTTTTTTTTTTTTTTTGAAATATTTCAATTGATTCGTTGCTTCGCGACTAGTCTAATTCGAGGCGAATTCAAGATTAAAACTTTAAACCTCTCCTCTTAAAGATAGGATCGAACACATGCTCTCACCTTCACCTACTCAGCTCCCGTGCGACAACTGAACTAACACGTTTGGTGTATTTTTACTCTTTTACCTTAACATTAATAAAATAAATAAAAAATAAAAATTATGGTATTTGAAGTCAGCTTCTGACTTGTAAACTACATAAAGAGTACCTTAAAACTCGGGCTGAAAATTTCAGAAATGTGTTGTTTTATACAAAATTTGTTTTGTTGAATTTTTCATACCAGTTTTTAAGGAGACACTAACCTTGCGCTGAGCTTTTTGTTTCACTCAACACACACACCATCATGTTCTTGGAAACCACATGATTACCAGTTGTCATATCAGATCCTATCCATTAACACGAGTCACGGTTAAAACTTCAAAGCACATTGCATTACCACCTTGTTCCTCTTAGCAATCTCCGCCTTATCTTCTTGCTCTCTTCTTTCTTTCTGTTCTACTTTCAAACACAACAATCTTTCTTGGGAAATGGTTTTGTTCAAACGTAAGGGTGTGGTTTACACGCCCGTGAAGGATGTTGATTTAGGTCCTTATAGCAGTGAATCCTATCTCCAAGCCAATGTCAAAGGTTCACCATGCATTGTCCTCTTTTTTTTTTTTTTTTAGCTTCTTGTTATCTTGATTTCTTTTTCTCTTGGCATGGTTTTTCATCGAAAGTTTCTTATAATTCGCTTTCTTAATTTTAATATTTTCATTCTCTGGTTGGTGGCAGAGGAGTACCACTGTAGCACTGTGTGCTAAGTGTTTAATTTAACAATGATGCAGTTTCTGATTTTGAGAAATAATAGTTGCTTTTAATGTCATTGGTTTCTCAAGTTTAGAATATGATATTTGTATCAAAATCTTTGCTTGCATGCAATTCTTAATCTCAATGGATGATACTTATACACACTCACAAAATGCTAATGCTCTTTTCAATCACAGCTCCACGCATGACTGGAATTTTGATCAAGATTTTCACTCATTTGTTGGAGTGTCCAATACTTGGAACCTTTCTGTTGTTCATATTGAAGGGAAACAATCTTATTCACGAGGTATGCTCTTGTTCCATGTCTCCATGATCACTTGCATTCCATTTCATGATGTTCTGTTCCAATAAAGATTGAATTTCATCCTCTCTTTTTGAAGTTCAGAGTTTGATTTTTTTATCTATATTTATATATTTTCTTGAACACCTTTTGTATTGCGAGAAACTAGCCATGCATACACAACATTACAACTTATAATAGCAGGTTTTTTATTTTATTTCTGCAGCTTATTACAAATGCAGAGTTACAAGAGTCACCTCTCTATGTTCCCTTACATCATTTTGAAGGTTTGAGAGAAATTATGGATATGAGTATTATTTGGTTGCAGAATTTTGGTCTTATCTCAAGTGGATCAATGATTTCGGTTTATTCTTGCAGACACTAAAGAAAGAGAAGTCAAATGCTTAGATTCTTCTTCATCTCCACCAGAGAAAGTTCAACTTGCGTTAGATTGCTTGCCTATATTTTCAGAAGAAAAACTTGATGGAACAAATCCTTCGTTCCTTCGCTGGACAATAATGGATTATTCTAAAGCCTATCGTTCAGGGGATATAACACCACGCTTGGTATTTCATCTTTTAATATTCTTTTAACATGTTCTCATCTTGTTACTACTGTGTTTACTCATCAACACTTAACATGCATAAGTTTTCTTTTCCATTGAATGATCTGCTCCTACAAGGTCATTCTATATTTGGTATCTCTGATTATTACATCCACAAGTACTTCATACTTCTAGTGTTTCTGAATTGTGATGTACTTTTCTATTCATGCTTTCTTTTCACTTTCATTTTCACAGGTTGCGGAACGACTCATTGCTGCTATTGAAGAGTCCATAAAACCGCCACTCCAAATGGGATTTTTCATTCACTACAATGTGGACGATATACTAAGGCAAGCAAATGAATCAACTGCTAGATATAAAAAAGGTACTGTGTAACAACTTAAATTTCAATTCCAAATCAAAAGACTTCTTTCAAGCTTTAAATGATGCCATCTATTGAAACTCATAAATATGATTACTTGTGCTATCAGCATCCAGAAGTAAAATGCATGCCACTTACCTCTCTCCTACCCCATTTTCTGATTACATGTGCTCATGGTACAAGTTTCGGGAATACTATTTTCTAATCTTTGAGACATAGAAAATAATAATTTAACAAATGAAATAGTACAGAAATTACAGTTTCATCATTTGCAGGCTTTCTCCTCATTTTTGTTTATATGTTATGTGTACTCAACCCTGTTCGGATACTCATTTGATGCAACACTATTTTTGTAGGGGAACCTATATCTGTGCTAGATGGAGTTCCTGTTGCTATCAAGGATGAGATAGATTGTTTGCCATATCCGACAACAGGTAGTGTGATGTGTTGTTGTTTTCTCTAAGGAAGTGCTCATTTCATAATTCACTTAAGCATCTAAAAATGGTGTCCTCAAGGAGGTACAAAGTGGCTGCACAAAGAAAGGCCTTGTAAAGAGGACGCTTGCTGTGTTAAGCGTCTAAGATTTTGTGGCGCCATACTTGTGGGGAAAACCAATATGCATGAACTTGGGTCAGGAACTAGTGGAATAAATCCAAATTATGGGTAAGAGCACCATGTGTTATATGTACATCTTTGGTGTCTTCTGAACTAAGCGTATTGGGGAATTTACACTGAATCAGTTGGTGACAGGAGCATGTTTGTTTATTTACTTTGTAGGCCTGCTAGAAACCCATATGATAACAATAAGATTGCAGGAGGTTCTTCTAGTGGATCTGCTTCTGTGGTGTCTGCAGGACTGTGCCCTGTTGCCCTTGGTGTTGATGGGGGAGGTATTTGATTGATATTTGTACATGATAGACCAGAGAAATCAACATTCATTATTGCTAAGTGGCATTGTACATATATCTGTTTAAGCCTAAGTGATATACATGAAAATTGCTAGGTAAATCTATTTCAGTAGTACATGAATATATTAAGAGTACATATAAGAAAAAAAGTTTGTGAGTTACTATGATATTTGCACTCCTGTTCAGGATCTGTAAGGATGCCTGCTGCTCTTTGTGGTGTTGTTGGTCTGAAACCAACTTTTGATCGTATACCTCATGCTGGGTGGGTATTCATTTTTTGTTTTATCATATTTAAATGCTTGGAGGGTTGTAATGATTTAGAAGAATGATCTTCTGCTACATTCAGAGTTCTTCCCCTAAATTGGACAGTTGGGATGGTCGGAATACTAGCAGGCACGGTTGAGGATGCATTGATCGCGTTAGTAGCCCTTTCTATGATATTCTTTTTTTCAAGGAAGTTTTAAGATTGATCTTACAGCATCTAATTTTCCACTGTTTATAGTTATGCAGCTATCAGTGGTGAAATTCCATCCCATCAACCCTCAGGTGTATTGGTAAGAACTTATTTTGATCATTGATTAGTCTTCCCATGTTTCAAATATTACATATGATTCTGATTTGACTTACACTTTCAATTTCAACAGAGTGATTCTGAATTTAACCTTTTCTAATCTCTTTGAACTTAAACTTCAGACCAAGATAAATCTTCCACTGCTGAGCTTGACTAAGTCCATATCTGACATCAAGTTGGCAAAATATGGGAAGGTTAGACACCAGTTCTCAGCTATAAAAATATGCATTATCATTCCCATATATTTAAAAAGGGATATTTTTTTTTTATGTTGTAGGAAAAGAATTACCTCAAGTTGTAGAAATAAAAGTATAAGTAGGACCCACATGTAAGAGGAGAGAGAAAAAAAAGTGGTGGGACCCAACCTTTTTGTGTGTGTAAGAGAGATGTTTATCTCACGTAAAATGAGATAAACATAACCCATTTAAAAAATAAGTTGTTCTAACATCATTTATGTTCTTTAACCACTACTTCCATCAATTAGTGGTTTAATGATTGCAGTGATGATGTCAGAATATGCTGCTCCCAAGCTTTGTACAAGCTTCAAGAACGTTACAGTTGGAAGGTACTGCAGAATATAAAATTCTATTCAACAGTGACTAGATAATCATGATTGTTACTTTCCTTATTTCAACAAATCTTATGTGATTGGACTATTTAACATGAATTTAAAAGAAACTATCTTGAGTAAATATCTTTTTTTTGATCCTCAGCAAATTTTACGATGTCGCTTTAGTCCCTAGCAAATAAAAAGGCTATTCGTAGTTCTTAAGAAATTCAAAATGGACCCATTTAGTTGAAATCGTAGTCCCTCACAAATTCAAAAAAGATCCATATTAGTCTCTCAAAAGGACTAAAATGGGTCTACTTTGAATTTTTTAAGGACCACGAATAGCCTTTTTATTTGCTCGGGACAAAAGCGAACATCATAAAATTTACTGAGGACCGAAGAGGATATTTACTCAACAATCTTTTAAAGACAGAAAATTCCCAAAGCACTTCTAATGCAATTACTGAACCCATCATTGACAAACAGCACAGCCATTACTTGCTAACTTGCTACGTTTTTTCAAACATACAAGACTATAGATGTCACCATACCAGAGATAGAAGTGATGCGCCTGGCACATTATGTAACAATCGGATCTGAATGTTCCACTTTGCTCGATTCTTTTAGAGAAAAGTAAGCACCTCATAAACTCTTTGCTTTCTTCATTATTGCCCTCTAGATTGTGGAGTATGGTTGCTGACATCACCAAATTACTACCAAAGGAACTTTGCAGAGTTAGGATGGGATGCAAGGGTAGCACAAAGCATCTATGGTTCTTTTAGTGGCTTGGAGTATCTTAAAGCTCAGAGAATTAGGTAAGCTATGACCTGATTTTCTTCATCTAACATCAACATCGATAACACCTTTATCCCAAACTAGTTAGAGTATTTTTTTTAATTTTTTTTTTACTGCTGGCTCGCTACACGCAACGTCAATCATGTTCCTTTAAGTGATATGAAAAATGAGGCCAAGAAACTCCAATAATAAAAGTTAAATTAGTGAAGTGAAGCTAGTAGTGTGTGTGTGTGTCTTTTTTTTTAATGGCAGCTTGTTGAAATATGAACAGGAATCGCCAATTGCAATTTCACAAGAAAATATTTGCTGAGGCTGATGTCATTGTCTCACCAACAACGGGGTTTGTCATGTTTTCTCAAACTTGACAGAATGGTTTCTTTTAACTGGTAGCAGTTTTCTTTTATGTAACACATTTATGGTATTTATAACAGTGTGACTGCATATCCAATTCAAGATGATGCCCTGAATACTGGTGAACTTGACTACGTCAATGGAGGTATAGAAGAAATTCATTTGATTAATTACATTCATCTCTGCATGTTATTTTTCAAGTCTGTGACTGTGTTAGCATAAATAGCAAGCACCAAAATGTCTAATATAATCTGAACTGTTTGCCACGTTTCAGCTGCACTTGTTCGTTATTCCATAGCAGGAAACTTTCTGGGACTTCCTGCTGTCACTGTTCCGGTAGGATCATATTCTCATTTACTTCGTTATACCATATGTTATTTATTTATTTATATTTTTTTGGGTACAGACACTATATGTTATTTTATATATGATTTTAGATGCTAATTGTATGCTGTCTATTTTGGTGGTTCACGCTTTCACAGGTTGGATACGATAAATTTGGTTTGCCTATTGGTCTTCAGTTTATTGGAAGGCCTTGGTCTGAAGCAACATTGATCCACTTGGCATTCGCAATGCAGGTAAAATTCAAGTTTTCACTAAAGCATCAAAATTAGTCATTTGGTTTCTTCTCATGCATGTTAATGGGTTTAGCATGTGATACACTAATATTAGTTTGGATTTTTTATTAAATAATTCATATTAATAAATTTAATCTAATGTAAACTCTACAAATGTCATATGACTTTGTATGTATTTTGTGGGAGCCTATTGTAACACCCCGTTCTAGAACCGGTTTGTTAACATCGCATTATGATATTAAGCGCAGTTACAATCACATGGGTTCAATTAAATTCCGGATAAATTTTTCATTTTTAAAACATACCGAACTTATAATACCCAACTTCGTGATCATAACCGTATTACCTTGCGGAGTCAGATAAATTAAGCTTAACATCATGTTCTTATTCCATTTTTAAATCATTAATTTACTTCCTATTTATTTCACAACTCCTACTATATTGTAGATCTCTTCATTAGCTATGCGTGGCTTCAAACCGCGCAAAAATTGGAGCACTGTAGCCCGAGTTATGATGATCGGAAACAACACAAGAGAGTGTTGGTCACAGGCCCCGCGCGCTTCAGCGCGCTACCGGGCGCTCAAGCGCGCTTTATCGGGCGCTAAAGCCTCCATCTGGGCGCTTAAGCGCACGGAGGCAGGAAGCATCATGTATTTCAGTGTAAATGGGCGCTTAAGCGCGAACCAGGGCGCTCAAGCGCGCTTTCCTGGGCGCTTAAGCTCCCATTGGGACGTTTTAGCGCGCAGAGACAGAAGCATCTCCCCTTTCAGTGGCTAAGGGCGCTCAAGCGCGGACCAGGGCGCTCAAGCGCGCTTTCCTGGGCGCTTAAGCCCCACACTGGGCGCTAAAACTCGAGGAGGCAGTAAGCCTCCCATCTTTCGGCAGCAAAGGGCGCTTAAGCGCAAGCCAGGGCGCTACAGCGCGCAATCCTGGGCGCTTAAGCCCCCACTTTGGGCGCTCCAGCGCGAGGAGGCCGAATGCATTGGCACTCACAGGGGCAGCAGGGCCTGGGCGCTTAAGCGCGCTGCCAGGGAATTCCAATTCTCACATTTTTCAAGTCCAAGTCCAAGGGAGGATGCATCCCCATTCCAAACCCCAATTGTCCATGCCCCAAAACTAAATCCTAGCACTCATCCAACCTCTCCTCATGAGATTTAGCTAGAATTTGGGCAGCATAACCTTTATTTTCTCAACGTTTCCAAATTTAAACAAAGGTACCTAATTGATTCTCAGCCCAACCAATTCAATACTCAATACATAACAAGCACGCATATATTGAATTTCAACTATGCATCATTTACGGTATATATCCATTACAATTCATGGAACTTAGCTTACAAAACACTATGATCATTCCCTTGGCTCCCATCAACAAAAGAGATGACCAAAGGCATGAGCATAGGCTAAGTCCATTCCAATATAAAAATCATAAATCTAGCATTGCCTATTAATTACAATTCTATACATGTGAGCTACAAAACAACATGTATAATCTCAAAAGAAATGCATAATTTCATGAATCTGCTAATCCAGATATGGCCACTTGCCACTAGAGGCTCCTGCAGCATCCTTACCTGAAAGGGGGTCCCCACAACACGGGGTGAGATATACGAATATATCCAGTAAACCAGGGGTCCTTGGAGCATCTCTCCACCCCACAGTTCCATATCATTGTAATAGCAATAACAATAATAATGCAGTAAATACATATCTATGCAAAGTGCAATACATCTCCAGGAGAAATCCCTCGAGCTCTCTAGCTATCCTAAGGAAACTCAGATGCAAATAGTCCTACTGGCCAGCTAACTACCAAGTATGATTTACGCATCGTCATGCAACATACCAACATAGGGAAACACCATCCTATGCCACACCAAATGCATACACATACGTATAACAAAGCATTACACTATTTTATTGCATTTATATACACTATAACTTCCACTACCCTTTCAGGGCTTGGTGGAACAATCAAGGGAATTACACCCAAGGTCCGAAGGTTTACCTCAATGCTTCAGTCGACCTTTGTTCTTCACCAACAGTTTCAACAATCAACTTTTACAAACATACACCTATACAAGGGTAATGCAATTAACATATTGCATTCAAGGATAACTCATCATCATCAATCCAAGCTATCCTATTCATACCACAACACAAGGATGAACTTACCTATTTCAAGGACTAATCCATCTCCATTGCTTGCTCCAAAGGTTGGTCAATTAAGGTTGATCCAATTGCCTCAATCCACCAATGACTACACAACGATGCAATGAGCGCTCCCCAAGCTTCAATGGAGAGAATCACCACAAAACCCCAACTCTCACCAAAAGGGGAAAATTTTGGAGGGTTGATATCTCTCTCCCTAATAACTCCCACTCAAAACAAAGCTAGGATTATGAAAGAGGGGAAGAATCTAAGTGGTTTAGGCTTTTGAACGGATGAATTTGGTTGAGATTTGCTCTCTCTTTCTCTCTCTCCCTTTTCTCTTCCTTTTTTCTCCTTTTTTCTCATTCTTCTTCTTTCTCCTTCTTTCTCCTTCTCTGGTTGCTCGACGAAATGGGGTGGAAAATGGGGCTCTTTTGGCTTTTAGTCACTTAACATTGGTTAAGTGGCTTTAAGCGGGTATTGGTTCGTCTATCTGTTCAACTCCAATAATTACCAAACTTTACCCAAAAGTCTGGAATATTATTCTAGGAATATTTACAATTTTATTTTTATATTTTGGGCACTTTCGCCAGTACCCATTTATACCCCTTAATTTTCACTGAGTACACTTTTTAACTCCAAAGTGACTCAGATTCATTTAATTAAGCATTATACTTAATTTCACTCAGTAAAACATGCTTAATTAATTAATTACACTTGATTTACTAATTAATTAAGATGGGCTATTATAGTCACCCCACCTTTTAGCGATTTTGTCCGCAAAATCAAGAACGTACCTGTTCTTAAACTCAGGATATTGTCGGAGAAGCGCATCTTCCCGCTCCCAAGTGGACTCTTCAGGCGTCCTTCCTTCCCACTGGACTTTCACCATAGGAATAGATTTATTTCTCAGCTTCTTCTCATCTCTTTCGAGTATCTTCAGTGGCCCAATAGGAGTCTTCAAATTCTCCCGGATTTCAACATTATCAGGTTGAACCACATGAGAAGGATCAACTACATATCTCCTCAGCTGAGAAACATGAAACACATCATGCAAATTTGCCAATTGTGGAGGTAAGGCAAGCTGGTAGGCAACCGGTCGCACCCTACGAAGAATCTGGGAGGGTCCAATAAATCTCGGACTCAGCTTCCTCACTCCAAGGGCTCGTCCAACACCTGTAACCGGTGACAGCTTCAGGAACACATGATCTCCCTCCTCAAACTCTAGAGGTCGATGCTTGAGATCATAGTAACTTTTCTAACGATCCTGAGCCTTTTTCAGACGATCCCTAATCATTTTGATCTGCTCAGTAGTCTCCTGAACAAAATCCAATCCAAACCGCTCTGTGTCTCCAACCTCTGACCAACAGGTAGGTGTCCTACACCTGCGACCATACAAGGCCTCGTAGGGAGCCATACCCAGACTAGCATGGAAACTATTATTATATGAAAACTCAACCAGCGGGAGATATCGATCCCATGCAGTACCCTGCTCCAGGGTGCAAGCTCTCAGCATATCCTCCAACGTCTGAATGGTCCTCTCAGTCTGACCATCCGTCTGTGGGTGATAAGCAGTGCTCAGTCTCAACTGAGTGCCAAGAGCCTCCTGCAATGCTCCCCAGAAGCGAGAAGTGAACTTCGGGTTCCGATCACTAACAATGCTTTCAGGCACCCCGTGAAGCCTCACAATCTCCTTCACATAGAGCCTAGCCAATCTCTCAGCAGAGAAATCTACCCGAACTGGCAAAAAGTGTGCGGATTTTGTCAATCTATCCACAATCACCCATTTAGAATCATAACTAGCCTGTGTTCGCGGCAATCCCACTACAAAATCCATGGAGATACTCTCCCATTTCCATTCAGGAACATCCAGAGGTTGTAACATACCAAAAGGCTTTTGATGCTCGATCTTTACCTTCTGACAAATGAGACACTTAGAGACAAATTCGGCAATATCTTTCTTCATACCAGGCCACCAGAAATTCATCTTTAGATCCTGATACATCTTTGTAGCTCCCGGATGAACTGTGAAATGACCCTTATGAGCCTCTGTCATTACTTCCTCCGCCAACTGCCTAGGTACAACAACACGACCTTGATATAATAGTATACCCTCATCATTGCAGGATACACCACTCTGACCTTTCAGTCTTTTAGCACTTTCATTTTGCAGTTGAGCTTCTCTAATTCTGGTCATCAGTTCATTCTCAATGCTTGTGATTTCAAAGCCATAAATTTTACATGGAAAGATTTTA